CCGTGGCACCCCGCTCCCCGCGATCGCTTCGCTCCGGGGGGGGTTTCGGGCCTTCCCCGCCGGGCCCCGAGGTAGCTGCACCGGGAGAGGCCGCGTCGGTCCCGCTCGGACTGGCGGCCGTGCCACCGGCTGTAACGATCCGTTCCGAAACGGCGCGGGGGGAGAACAAACGCTGCCGGAAGGCACCGAGGGGCCCATCTCGACGGCTCCAGCCTCCGTGTTTCGCTCTTTCCATCTGCCGGACGCCGTGTCCCGGAGGAGCCTCGGGCTCCCCTCGCACCCGGCTGCGGGGGGTGCACGATGCCCGTGGTTGCTGCGGGGAAGCCCGGAAAGGGGATGAGGTGACACTCCGCAGTCGAGTCCTCGTCCCCACCCAGGGACGGGGGAAGAGGCCGGGATCTTCCCAGGAGGCTCCAGCCCGGGGAGGGAAAGGGCAGCTAAGCCAACACGGAGCGAAAAGTGTTTCACCAACAATAAGCCACAATTTTTATTAATTGATAGAAATAGTACAAATTTTAAATTTAGTTCCATTTTTACTTTTCTCTGAAACACCAAAAAAGGCCCCTCCCTCTGGTGGCTACATCGTCAACTCCTGCAGAGAGAAAAAGTGGCGTTAGGGAGCTGACCTCGCTGGTGGCCCCTCCGCTCCCGTCCCCAAGCTCCCGCCGACCCGGAGGTCCCCCTGCAGACCCTCCCTGCCCGGGCGCACGCTCACCATTATAGCGTTTACGATGTCGTTACTGTTGTTTTTCAAGGCACGGACTGCCTTCGCTCGGGACACGTTCGCCTGGGACATCACCAGCTCGATGTCTTTCACCTCGACGCCGGTTTCGTCAACCTAAAGCAGACGGAGCCTGGGTCCCGCCAGCCCCGCGCAGCGTCTGCCCCGCGCCCGCAGAGCACGGGACTGGATGGATGGGGGCAGTTCCCGGGAGAAACCGGGCACGGCCCAGCCCTGGGGACAGTCCCCGGGCGGTGCCGGGAACCAGGGAGGCCTTACCTCCTCTTCCTCGCTCTCCTCCTGCACGGTGGGTGTCTGTGTGTTTTCTTGGATGTTTGAAACAGCCTCTCCTTGCACTTTGAACTTCTCGGCAGCTGCCAGCTGGGCCTGCTGGGACAGGTCTTCGATCTGGAGGAGGGAAGAGGCGTAAGCGAGGCCAGGCCTGCGCGGAGCAGGGTGTCAGCACAGGCCGAGCTGCGGCCGCGCCCCCCACGCTGCAGCAGTGCCAGCGCGTGCCCCGGCTCTGCTGCACGGCCCCAGGGGGGCCCATGGCAGCCACGGCACAGGGAGAGCCCAGCGGAGCGAGCACCGGTAGCGCGGCCACCAGACTCGCCTTCGCTTCGCCGAAAACTATGTAGGTGTCTGACGCCGGGCTCTTGTACACGTCTGGCTTTGTGATGACGAAGAGGATGTTCTTCGATTTCCGGATGGTGACTCTGGTTACTCCCGTCACCTGGCGAAGGCCCAGTTTAGACATTGCCTGAGTAACACGAGAGACAAACGAGGGACAGGAGTTACCAGGACAGCCCAGCCTGGGACAGGACGCATCCGCTCAGCGGCTCTGACAGATAAAACGTGTGTTCACTGCTGCAGAGAAGCGCTCCCGGAGCCGAGAGGGGGAACTCTCATCCCAGGCCTGGTGAGATGCGCTGCACGGCCCCGGGTCCCTCCAGAGCAGGATTCTGCCCGTGAACGTCCCCCTGCCCGGGGCTGACACGGGCGGGAAGTGGCACAAACCTCTTGCTCTCGGGGCCGAGGGGCTGCAGCCCTGTGCAGGGACACGGCGCCCGACCCCAAGGCAGTGCTCGGCCAGCCACGGCCACCGGGGTTTGGTCCATCCACCTCCCCACCTCACCTTCCGTGCTTTCTTTTCACTCCGGCTCTGTTTTGCTTTGCTAACAGGTTCTTCATCTATTTCAGCTGCTGCTGCAAGCTGCGAGGAGAGGAAACGAGAGGGAGGCGTGAGGCTGCACGGTGGCAGCACCAGCCGTGGTCCTGCTCCGCGCTGCCGGGCGCAGCACGGGGCTGGCTCCTACCTGTGCCTGCTGCGTTGTGGCCTGCGTGGAGTCTTGCTCTTCGAGCTCTGGTACGGATTCATCGCTGTCAGACTCTGTTCCAGACCCTACAGAAGCAAGGAGGTGTCACTGCTCCCAGCGCCGGCAGGTCCAGGGGACGCAGCACCACCACGGAACCGCTCGGGTGGAGCCTCTGCTGCGGGG